CAGCACTAGGAAGGCAGAGGCTAGTGGATCTCTGAGTTTGTAGACCACGCTGGTCTACAGAGTGAGTTCCAGGACACCCAGGGCTAAACAGAGAAACCTGTCTCAAAAAGAAAAGAAAGAAAAGAAAAGAAAAGAAGAGAAGAGAAAAGAAAGGAAGAGAAAAGAAAAGAAAAGGGAGGAAGGAAGGAAGAAAGGAAGGAAGGAAGGAAGGAAGGAAGGAAGGAAGGAAGGGAAAAAAGAAAAAAGGTATGTGTAGGTGGAGGAACTGAACTTTTGCACAAACGATTTAAAAATTAGAGCAATTATCTTACTATATACTTCATTAACCACTTATGTATGGGTCAGATGTTCATTTCAGATGTTTTATGCGCGTTTATCCATCCACTCCAGTCAACTCTATTTTGAGTTGACTTGTTGAGGTGAGCTTGTTACTCCTGCCCATTGAGCTAAAATAATTTGTCAGTGCTACCTCAACCACTGTGTGCAGCAGTTGAGGGTTGAAAATGGAGATTGGTACCTACTTCAACAGGGTCCCCAACAAAATGGCCAGAGATGAGATCCAGGAACAGCTAAGGGCAATTTCTTACTATTTTACATTGCTACTTATGGTACTTTCTGTATATACTGTTAATATTGTGACAGCTTCCATTGGGTAAAAAATTTTAAAACAGGGCCAGTTAGGTGGCTCAGGGGTACAGGCACCAGCCACCAAGCCTGATGACATAGCTGTCCCCCCCCAAAACTCACATGGTGAGAGAATTGACTTTCACAAGTTGTCCTCTGACCTCCATATGCCCACATGCTTGCACACACACACACACACAAAATAAATGTATACAAAAATTAAGAACACTTGCCAGTGAGTTCACGTGACAGGATGCTCTCTAAGTACTTGCCCCACCTCCTACACAGCCCATACCCTCTGCCCCAGACTTCATCAGTAGTTCACACAGTTACTTACTGTATATATTCGTGTTTGTGTATATGCCTCTCCTCCACTGACATGTTTTCATGACATGACAGAGTTTTCAGTTAGCTCTGTTCACAGGTGTATTTCCTCTTTGGAAATATGACTACCACATAAAAGACAAACCATGTTGGTTGAGTTAGTGGGTGAGACAATGCAAGATGAGCAGGTATAAACCTTTCATAAAGCCCTTGGTGGACTCAGTTTTCCGAGCAGTTCTTCCCTCCCCGCCTAAGTATCATTTGCTCTAGGCATACTTGGGTCTAGGAAACTTTAGCTTCCAGTCTATCATCTGTAATGCTTTCTGATTATTTTCTTAAGAGGTAACTGAGGTGTTCTTCCTAGTGTCCTCTTCACAATGTCAAAGACAGAGTTGGCTGTGTAACTTGGTGGTCCAGTGCCTGCCTAGCATGTGGAAGCCCTTTCCTACAACATAAAAAGGGAGGGGATGGTTGGATGAAGTGCTCAGCCTCTCCCTCCAAATGTTCTAGTTTTCCTTTACAATGGCTGATTGCACTGGAGATGTTTAGGATCTGGATCGATCATGTGTTATCTATGATTCTGGCCACCCCTAAACCTTACTAGAGTTTAATGTAAAGTTATGAAAAATGGTTGAGGTCCTGTCCATGCATCATTCTTTGGCCAAGTTTTTGAGTCTGATTTATCTCCATGAAATCTGTATTATTCTAAAAAGTATGAGGACCATGCCAGGTTACACAATCTTGTAAAGATAGTCACTTTGTAACAATTGCATTTCTACTGGGAAGATGCGAAAACAGAAGGCCCCACTGGGAGTCGAACCCAGGATCTCCTGTTTACGAGACAGGCGCTTTAACCAGCTAAGCCATGGAGCCATGTCCTAGCAGGTGGGAAAGACAGATGAATCTATCCCACTTTATTTCTGTTCGGTGGGGGGTGGTGGGGAAGGTAGTCTATACTAATGATATCCCCTCTTTTCTTTCTTTCTTTCTTTCTTTCTTTCTTTCTTTCTTTCTTTCTTTCTTTCTTTCTTTCTTTCTTTCTTTCTTTCTTTTTTCTTTTTCCAGAGAAGTGGTTGAAAAGATTCTGCGTCTTCTCTGATCAGAACGAAGACATCATACACGAGAGTCAGGGTCAGATATTTTTCTTTTATCACAAGGACAGGCATTTCAGGGAGAACAATCCGGCTTTGGAGTAACTGACAAAGACCATTCACGGCAAAGTAAATAAATGTGTAAGTGCAGCGCGTGTGTGAGCGCCTGTGTGCTGTTCAAGTCGTTGGCTGAGCTGTTGCATAAAAAGTAAACCGCTATATGTAGTGCGCTCGCTTGCCAAATTTGCTGGCTACTGCAGGCGTAAAAGGCGATCTTCAGCTAGAGGTGTCTGCAGGGTTACAACCTCTTTGAACTTCTTCAGATTGATTCCAAGAACCATAAAGACTTACTCGGATAATGTGGAGATGGATTATGGGGAGGCTGGAGCCTGCACCCTGGACACTGGAGACTAGAATGGCTTGGTTCCTTCGGAGTAGCCTGGAAGCTGGCGGTGCTGGGACTGCTGGAGAAAAGGAGGGATTTGGGATTAAGAAGGGGCTCTGGGAACCTGCTAGGCTACAGAGGTGGGGTAGTCAGAACCCATCTTCTTAGGCTGGAGGGACCGTGGAGAGTCGCAGCAGAAGTCTGGTGTGAGGGATGGGAAGCCCTTTGACGTCTAGCTGAGGTGATGTACACATGCAATGCCAACACTGGGAAGGCTGAGGCAGAGGGATTGCCTTGAGTCTGAAACCAACCTTGTTTACATAGCTCTGTTTTAAAAATAAAGAAACCTTAGAACAGAACTTTCTGCCACAGACTTGAAAACGCAGCAGGGAAACTTGGAATTTCCAGGGATTAAGTGAGTTTATTGTCCTAGAACCGGGTTCACCGAGTAAGGAACCTCATTAAAGATTCTGTGACCCACACTTTTAGTGATGCTAACATCCCATTAGATTGTTTGTGGCCTAATCACAGCTTATCTGATTACACGATAGGTTGTGGGGACTTTTGGCTTAAGGAAATTTCTCCAGCAATAATACTTATGGTGGTGATAACTAAAAAAGTAATATTAATATTCAGAGTACTGTAGCATCCTGGGGGGGCCTAAGACATGCCGAGCCAGTTTGCTCCTTTCTAGAAGGCTTTGTGCATAGTTTTCTTTGAGAACCAAGATCATTCATAGGAATTGGGTCAGGAGAAAAATGAAAAAAGAATGCTTTGTTCCCTTTATAAAGGGTTTTTATATTACCATTATTGTTGTTATCACTTGGACACACTCCAAACCTAAATTCATATCTCATGGAGCAAGGAAACTTCTGTTTCTGCTTCCCCTGGCTTTGGCTATCTTATGGTTTGGTATGGCATGTCCATACTGACTCCTGTGTTTGAACACTTGGTCCCCAGCTGATGGTGGCTTTGGGGGAGGTTGTGGTACCTTCAGGATGTAGGTCACTACAAGGCAGCCCTTATGGGGTACAGCCTGTCCTGCTGAGCTCTCTGAAGTTACCTCACACTTCTGCTGCCAGGGAAATACCACCAAGCTGTCAGAAGCACGATCAACTATGAACCAGAGAAAATCCCTTCCTCCCTCAAGTTGCTTTTGTATTTGGCCACATTGGCAAGAAAAATCACTAATGTAGGTTCCTCAGAATGGTGTTTATTTTCTCCTGTTCAGAGGCATAGTATCTGTATTTTTCAGTCTAGCAGCAGAATTGAGACATCCCAGATTCTCAGGCACACTGCAAATGGGCTATAAGGGGGTGAAGGTGAGAGAGTGCAGGCCCCCATTGCTAGAAGAGTTTCAGGGAGCCTCCAAGCCCTGAGAATCAAGTGTCTCAAATTCCTAGCCCCAGATATTGTAACATTGGCTGCTGCAAGAACCAAGGGGCTTGACCACCCATAACTCAAAAGCTATAACACTAACTGTGAGACCCCAGTACCTAAGGCTTGGAAACTGTAGCTGGTACTGACTGCTACCACCACCAGCTCCAGATAAAAGCTGAAGTTACAAATGCTCCCACGTGCAGACTGTCAGTAAGCAAATCACAGAGTAATAAGCCCCTACCCTAAACAGCTGGAGCAGGAAGTCTCTTCACTGTCAGAACTCACAGCCATCACCCTGTAGTCCTCTATCCTTGTAGCTATGACAAGCCCTAGAGCCTGTCACTAGACCTGGCCCTGTGACACTCAAGTAAGAGAACTGTAGACACCAGAAGAGCTACTTCTCCTACTAAACATTTTATCAAATGTTTAGCTGACCATTACTGGCAGTACTTTCCGGGACTGTGGCGCCTCTGATCAAGATCAGGTGTTGTTCTTTTTGACACGTTGCTCTATGTTTATGTGTTTTCAGATTTGAACAATAAGTATGAATTAATTAGAGGGGGTTCTTTCAGAAGCAAGACGTCTTCTTTTGGCTTATAGGGCTTAACTAAATGACCAGAATAGGAGGCACAGAGAGTCTGGCTCTAAAAACTCTGGGAACTGGGCATCTCTGCAGTATCTGTAATCCTAGCTACTTGAAATGCTGGAATGGAGGATTGGAAACTCAAGGCCAGCCGGGGCGACATACATAGGTCTGTGCTTTAGATCTGAACAGCAATGGGCCTACTGGCACAAAGCAGTGCAAAGGAAGATTCTAGAACACTTCTGAGAAAACCAGAATGTTGAATATGTAAGTAGGGAGGTCAAGAAACACATACGTACTGAAAGACATCACTCAGAGGCCAGCTGCTGTGGGCTCCTTTGTTTATTAGATTATTATTATTACTATTACCATTAGAGACAGTGATAATAGGAATGAATTTGAAGTTGGGAAGACTCTGGGCGAGAGCAAGCATCATCATTTGGTGTGAAGGACATCTGTACCCAGGTGCTATGACCTGAATGCACAAATAGAAAGGCTCCCAGAAAGGCTCTGGTAAGGTCTGAGCCAGAAGGACCTTGAGACCTACTGTGGTGGCAATGCCCTCTCTCCCCTTCATGTGAAGTGAGGTTTCTTCCCTCAGCCTTCAGAATTCCCTAAGAAAACTACAGGGTGGTGTGGTACCAAGGGGCCAAACAGAAGGAGAACTTGACAAAGCATGCCCAGCTTGGGAGGAGAAAAGGCTGGGACCCAGAGGATCTGGCCACCTGTTCCCAGTTCTTTTAACCCGACAGTGTGGTGAATGGTACAGAGGTCTCAGTGGTAGATTAGGATCTTTGTAGATTACTTTTTAGACATATGGGATTGTCTGGATCATCAATGCCAAAATATGACTGCCTTTTGGACTAGATTAGAAAAACTAGATATATCATAATCAGATATCTAGGTGGATCAATTTTCTTTGACTTAATTTTCAATGTATGTATATGCATACCACAAATAGAGAGGTCTGTACACGTTTATCCAGAGCTGTTTGCACATGCATTAGCAGGGACGCAGACTTTGGTCATATCGAGGGTGGTGAAGGAGTGGAGCAAAGGCGCTGTCTGTAAAGTGTGTCCTACTGGGTGCGGGTTTGGTTTAGGTACTCCATGATGTCTGACTGGACAATTCTGACAGGAGTCTTGTGGAACCAGCGCATGACAGGGACTCCATCAGGTCCCACCAGGAACTTCTCAAAGTTCCAGCGGATGTCATGGACCTTCATGGGATCCCAGAAGAGATATTCTGGAGAGCCAAAATTTTCAGAGGTAGGGGGGCAGGAGTTCTGGAGCAGAGATATGAAAATGGAGAGATGGTCTCATTTCTGCTTCTGTTGTCTGTTGCCTAGTCTCCTCTACCCACCACTGTACATCTCAACGTTTTAAACCCCTTCATGTGCTTCTGGCCCATCACAGACAAATCAGTGCATTGCCACTAGCACTCCAGGCCACTCTAGCCAGGTTAGAAGGTGACAGTGAAAAGCACCCCACTTTCCTGCCTTCCTCTAGGCTCATGCTTTCATCAAGAGGTTTCGGTAAAAACATAACTTCAGTCTGGCATGGTGGCGCATACCTTTAATCCCAGCACTTGGGAGGCAGAGGTAGGTGGTTCTCCAAGTTCAAGGTCAGCCCTTGGTAAGGGGTGGTGGTGGTGGGTGAGTATATATTTTTATATATTTAATATTTTTATATTTATTTTTTATATTTATTATTCATATTACATTATTTTTATATTTAATATAATATAAAAGTTATATATTATTAATATATTATATATAATATGATATGATATAATAATATATTAATAATATATAGCCATATTATTAATATATTTTATATATACATTTCCTAAGTGCTGAGATTTCAGGCATGAGCCACCACACCGATAGGACTTTTAATATTGCACAGCTCTGTATGGTTAATATCACTGTTTTGTTTGTTTTGAGACAGGGCCTTGTTCCATAGCTGTGACTAGCCTAGAAAGGACTATTTAGACTAAACCTAGAACTCACAGCCATCCTCCTGCCTCTGCATCCGAGTACCAGCATTATAGAAATGAGTACCATGTTTTGGCATGGTCTTCTGTGCTATAAAAAGCAGCTCGTGTGGTATAGCTTAGCCATAACTTATTATTGGAATAAATAATTGCCTTTTATGTTCAGTAAGTTGATCTTTTGTTTCAATTTACTGTGGATGAGTCAAGGTATCCACAGGAAGTGTTCTGCAGACCATTCTCTTGGGACACGTGACTAAATGATCCCTGTGGGGAAGGACCTTCTCCTAGCGGTTGTGGTTGTACTACTGTGATTCCTATCCTTTGGCAGTCTCTCCTCTCCTTGTCTTTGTCATCTCCTGACTTTATAATAGATCCTTTAGATAAGAGATTAACCTATTAATAAGTGTTAACTTGTATTTCACGGTCCCTTGATAAAGTAGGGATTTGATTAATGATTATTAAATAAGCAAATCATTAGCATTCATCAGAGGAGGTTAGTCTATGCCAGAGCTATCATGTATGTTTTCTCTGCTTGAGACTAATGCCTCATTTCCACGAACTTATTCCCTTTTATGAATCCCAGCTCATCCTCGATACCAGCCCCGTTGCTTCCAGCTTGCTCACTCACCTTTAGGAAGGAAAAAACCTTTTGTTCATTGTCTCCGTTCACATCCCCCTTCTCAAAGAGCTGGAAATTGGGGACATAGCCACCGCCTGGACGCACATATCTGCAGTGAAACAAAGTGTTCCCAAGAGAATCCAAATTAAGTCAAGGAGGACTAGGAATGGCTGCCAGTGGTCCCCACAAAGGCACAGAAAGGACTGCGGAAAGAGAGGGGATGAAGACAAGTGTCTGGAGTCAAGATCCCAAGCAAGGGGCTTTGTGGAACTGAAGAATTCTAAGACACTAGGGAAGGGATGTTTTGACTTCAGATTTCCATGCACATCTTCATTCTTTCCCCTGAATGCCTTTTCCGTAAATCTTCCCTACTCTTGTCCTCAATGAAGCCAAGTGTGGGAAGGGTTCTTGGGCATTTCTGGCTGGACTAGATGGAATTCAAGGCATCACGGTGACATTCTTCAGCCCATTGTTCTATCACCTTCCCCTAGAAGATTCCAGAATGGGAAGGTAATGAGGCAGATGAGGAAGGGCATCTCTGGGGCCCCACACAGCACTCACTTGAGTCCAAGGAGGATCTCTGAGTTCTTTCCAGGTTCTTGTTTTCCAAACTGGTTGCACGGAAAGCCCAGCACAGTGACGTTGAAGGACTTCAGCTCCTCCTGCAGTGTGTTCAGTTCTGTAGGTAGAGGATGAACAGCATGGCAGGGCTCCTACTGAGAACTCGAGATGTGAAGGACCCACTGTGCTGACCCTCTTGTCATGGGAATACACTGAGGACTATGAGAAGCTGCAGACATTAAGTAGGAAGAGCCGATCGCTACAACACATTGTCTCTGGGAACTCATCTCAATGCCTACTGGTTTTGTGGCACAGGGTTTCCCAAAAAATCGTTCTTCACCTGGCACACAGAGTTTACTTAAAGCAAACAGACACAGATTGATTTGACTTATGAAAAATAAGGAAAGGGCAAACAAAATGAATGTGTTCCCTCCTGCCCTCACACCAAGTCTCATGATGGCACCTCTGACACTTCTGACACTTTCCCAGAACACTCTTTGCTGTTGCATATTAGAAGTGATAGAAAGAAACAAAAAATCAGAGTCAGGCTGCATATGGTGGTGCTTATCTATAATCTTAGCAAGTGGGAGATAGAGGCAGGGGCATGGCCATAAGTTTTAGGTCAGCCTGATCCAGGTAGTAAGTTTTAGGCCAACTAAGTCTATATAGTGAGACAGCTTCTCTAAAAGAAAAAAAAAAGCAAAACAAAACCAAAACAAACAAACAAAATGCCGTGAAGCCTGTTTGCATGGCATTCTCCACCCTGAGGCCTCCCATTTTCGGCTGCTCCTCACAGATCAAGAGCCTCTTAGCTGTGTGCTTGCCTGAGCCACTCTTCTGTCCTCGGTTATTTTCAGTTTGGAGTTACACCTCAGAACCAGACACTGAGCTCATTCAGCCTCAGCTCTGCTAGCTGGGGTCTCCACTAGCAGAAGAAGCTAGGAAGAAGCTCTTCCCAGATGAGAGTGTCTCCAGGTTTCAACATATTTCTTGTATATTTTATATGGATATATATATTTACTAAGTGTTAGATGAAACTAATTTTTGAGACAGTGTTTCCTGTATGACTAGCATGGTGGCCAACTCACTGTGTAGCCAAGGATGACCTTGAACTTTTGACCCTATGGCTTCCACCTTCCCAGTGCTGGGCTTAGAGATCTGCATCACCATAATTGCCTGAGATGACCACCAGTCCAGCACTGCCCAAACCGTGCAGTGGTGTGTGTGTGTGTGTGTGTGGCATTTTAATATAACTACGGCTAAGTCAAGCATCCTCCTCTGAATGATAACTTCAAAATACCAAAATTTGATGACATATGTGTCCTAGATGAGACATTGCATTATACAAATTTAAATAGTATTTAGAAAGGAGAAATTCCTGAAATTTGTAATTACTATAGTTCCATTAAAACATGACTTTGAAAGTGAGATCTTGTCTCAAAAACTGTTTCTAAACAGAGCCTGCTGTTTATCACTAGTCAACTATGTAACAATGTCAATGAGTAGAATTTGTAAAAACTTGTTCCTGCATTACTTTAGTCCATTTACCTGTGGCATTTTAGTCAATAAACTTTTGAAGTTATCTTAGTTCTAGAGAAAAGAATGCAGGTCTTCACATGTTTTCAGCAAGCCCTTTATGCACCAAGCCTTCTCCCTTGTCTCCTGGTGTTTGTTTTTGTTTTGATACATGGTCTTAAAAAGTCACCCGATGGTTGAGGCCTAACCAATGGTTGAGGTCCTTCTGCCTCCAGCTCACAAGGGCTGAGATGACAGGTTTGTGTGCTGCTACACAATGCTGAGGATCAAACCCAGGGCTTTGTGTGTGCTAGGTAAACACTCTGCCAACTGAGCCATATCTCCAGCCACATAATCTGTATTATAACTCCCATTTTCATTCTTGGCTTAATGCAAACCAATCTCCAATGTGGCCTAGGAGTCACAGGGAGGGTTCGGTATTCTATCAACTCAACAAAGTGTCAACATCCCAGTACACAACCTTTGTTAACCATGACAAATCAGGACTGTTCTACAGTCATATCTGAACACACACACACACACACACACAGAGAGAGAGAGAGTTTACACCGCAAGATGACCGCGTATCATCCTGCCAATATAAATGGCTGCTGCTTTACCAGTTAGAGCTTCAGCCTTTCTGTTTCTCTCACCATACAGATATGATTTCTAAAGATAACCAATCACATAATTGCCCCCTTCTTCATTTCCTGACAACTCTTAATCCAGAGCAGCAGTCTAGTTCCTTAAATCCTTCCCCACACTGCCTGATGCCAGCTCACACGGCTTGAGTGTTCTCTATCCCTTTCTGAGAAGCTTCTTTGTTCCCTGTGGTAGCTTGGCAACAATACCCACTTGTTCAACCACAAATGTATTCTTAATGGCTGTCTAACAAATCTTGGGGAAAACCTTAGATCTCAAGGATGGAGATAATTCTGACATTAATGTGGCAGAATGGGACGAGTTAGGCTTCCCATTCATTCCCATCGTATGGAGTCATTGTGCTAATCCATCCCTCAGTCCCAGCAGCATGGAAAACCTTCTCCAGTCACAGTATGGTGGGTGATATGGCAAGCTAGTGCTGATAGAAAATTGAAATATGAGTTCTTACCAGGGTACGTAGCTGTCAGGCCACAGAAGGACGCCACATTGACAAAGAGGATGTGTTTTCCTGCATACTGCTGGAACTGAACATATTCCCCACCGTCTAAGGTGTTGGCTCCATACTCATAGACGGTGCCAGCCACCCCTTTGTTGCAATCCACCTGTAATAAAACACAAGTGCTGTAATGGTATGACCCGATAGACTGTAATCCTCAACATCTGTCAGCATTTTCAAAGCACTTGAAGATTTTTCATGCAGTATCTTAAAATTTCTAAGAGCTGAAGAATTTCTGTTTGATGAATTCCACAGCCAAGCAGGCATCAGTGGTGAATAGATCTGAGTCCCCATAGATAGTGCCCTCTCAAGCAAGCTGTGACCTTGCTTGATAGTAGATAACCTATGACTGTACAGCTACCATGTATTTTACATGTACTCTTACCCTTCACATACCCAATAAAAGAGGTCAAAGCTCAAAGGTCAGACTTATGGACGTATATAAGCATCATGAGAGCATCTTAGGAATGCTTGGACTTCCAAGAAGACATACTGGATCAAAAGCTCTAGAAGTGACACCCAATCACCAGTGGGTTCTCTGTTTAGCTAAGGTCTGGGAGTCACTGTGCTCTGTGATGAGGCTGTCCCTCACCTTTCACAGAAGGGAGCTACAGTTGGCAAAAGATTCGTATGTAGCTTAAAGCCACAAGTGAGATTGAGGTTTTCAACATGTTTCTCTGATTTTAAAGTTAAAATGCATCAGTCCCTCGAGTCATCTGCATTAGTCCTATTTTGCCCTCTAAGATGTATGCACACTTTTTTTTTTACAGGGATGGTTACTAACTCCTATCTAGAGATAGATAGTCTTGGATACCAATCTGTCTCCCTGGCTCCTTGTGAAGCCACAGTGTGGTGATTGTCCAGCTCCTTGGAGCAGCACCAAAATCTGAGGAGAAGCCCTTATACAGTGCCTCGCCCTGTCTTCACCTCCCATATCCCCTCACCCCCCCACACCCTCTGAATTCAGTCTCTGTGTTTTAGTAGTCACTGAAGAAAAGTTCCTCTTTCCCTAAGCCCCGAGCCCATGGAGCCCACCCAGTTCAGTGCCCACTTTTTAGTAATTCCTCCTGGATTTGGCCCAATCAGTCTGAGAACAACCAGCCTCCCTCCCAGCTCACTTGCTATTTAATCAACTGTTTCCTAGGACCCATGGGGCTGCTCCAAGTTACAGATCAGAATGGAAGAGGACAGGTTCAGGGTTGTCAGACAGCCACCAAGGGGGACTGACAAAAGCAGATGGGGACTTTTTTCAAAGATCTACTAGGTGCAGAAAAGCAGAGAAAGTGCATGGAAAACACAGTAAAGCACCATGATGCATAGAGGTAGGAGAGCTGCCGAGGCAGTCAGCATCAGAGGCAGAAGTCTGTGAAGAAAGGCTACTAAGCAGCGCTCTCCCTTTAAGAACAGGATAGATCCCTAAAACTCACCAGTAGACAAGTTACTTATCAGATGTTTGAAATCAGTTTAGGTCCACTGGTGGGGGTGGGTGAGTCAGCAGGGTGTGTTCCTGTGTGTGTTTGTGTGTTTGTGTGTGTGTGTGTGTGTGTGTGTTTCTTACCTTCGATTTTTGAGGGCTCAGAGTCTCCTGAGCCAAGGCAGCCATAAACAATGAGAAAAGACAGGAACCCCAGAACTGCTGGGCCATGGTTGTACAAGGAACACTGAGTCTCGAACCTCAGGAACTGTGATCCCTTTTGAGTATCCCCAGCAGACATCAGTTTGAAGATGCACAGCCAATCACAGCCCTCCTCTCACTCCCCACCTCTCTCCTTTCTCTTCTCCTCACCCTTGCTCTTCTAATACAGGAGACACGTGGGTAGGCACAGGTTCTGACAGGTGAAGGTGACAGGAAGGTGGACGCTTTTCCTGTCTGCAACCTGAGATGCTGTGCCTCCTTCTCCCAGTGACTGGAGTAACTCAAGCCACTGAATTACAAGCTACTTTTCCACAAAATATTCTTGAGATTTGCATGCAAACTAAAGTTTGAAAAGCATTGACCCAGCTTGTCATCAGTGATGCCGGGCCAGGAGACACAGGCACTCGAAGCCTGAGAAACTCTCTTCCCCCTTAGGAACCTCTACTCAGATAAAGGCAGATCCTTGCCTATGCCCCAGAAAAGAATTTCAGGACCAGCCAGAACAAAGCACTTTGTGAGTTTATCAGGTATTTAGACAGAGAGACCTATAGGAAAAAACAGTGTACAAGCCCCAGACACAGCTGTCTGTGCTGCTGTGCAGTTCTAGGCCAATTCTCAATGCTCCTAATTTACAGCAAGATTAAGTGATGCTCAGAATTTAAACAAGGTTTAAAAGTTAGAAATACATGTCGTGGTTTAGTTTGTAGATATTTAAATGTTAATTTAGCATTGTGTGTGTGCTGTGTGAGTGTGCATGTGAGAGTCCCAGGGCAACTCCGTGGGGCTAGCTTCCTTCCTCTACCTTCCACGTCCTCCAGAGATTAAACACAGGTCAGCAGGCTTGTAAGGCTAACTAACCTGTACAAATGGAATTATCTTGTCATCCATGGTTGGATTTTTTTAAAGGCAAGCTTTCACATCTAGAAGAAGACCCCCAGGCTGTCTTCTTATTGATTATGCAGCCAATGATGGCCCTCAACACCTGCTCTTCATCACACTTGCAGAAAGGCAGGTATTTGTACTCACCGAGCCATCTCTTCAGCCCCTACGACAAACCACTTGTAAATAAAGTTCTTCACACTTACCCCAAAGCAGGCACTTTGCTTAATGTATCTTGTATGTCCTCTTGGTCATCTCTTCTTTTGCTCTCTCCCCTAAATAGCTTTGTGTTTCTCCATTTTTCATTCATAACTGCCATATCACTGTCATGCCCAGTGAAACCAACAGTAGTCACTTAATGTTATTTAGGACCCAACTCGGTCTCAAACAGCCTGAATTATATCAATGCTGGTGATTCTTAAGCAAAAACCATTTGATGAATACTCAAAGCACGAAACATACTCAGAGGTCTGGAGATGTGGCTCAGTGGTTAAGAGCACCAACTGCTCTTGCAGAGGTCCTGAGTTCGATTCCCAGCAGCCACATAGTAGCTCACAATCATCTATAATGGGATCTGATTGATGCCCTCTTCTGGTGTGCATGAAGGCATAAAATAAATACCTATTAAAACAAAAAAGAAAGAAACATACTCAGTCCCTGAAAAGTGACATGGTGATCACCTATACAGATGACAATTTATTTATTCATGCTCCTGATGGAAGCTGTTTGCTTTACTTCCATTTTACACTATTGTGGATAAGACTGAGATGAACATTCTCATTCAAGCTTTTCTGTTCAATATTTTCATTTTTTTCTTGAGTATTTAGGAGTGGGATTGTTGGGTCATTGGTTCTATGTGTTTAACTTTATAAAAATACTAATTCCCCTAAGTGGTTTCACTGACTTAGCTCTTTAGGGGTCATAGTTTTCATCTGCTTCACCTGCAGCACATCCACACATACACGTCTGAGCACGTGAGCACACTGAATCTTAAGATCCTTCTCTGCTTTAAGCAGTCTTCACTAGTAGAATTGTTAAAGGTTGAAGTTTTGTTTTAAATTTATATACTGTGTTGTCTAGTTGACAAAAGCTACAGATATTTCAGGGAAGAGGGACCCTGAATTGAGGAAGGACCCTATCATATTAGTCTGTAGATAAGCCTGGGATGTCTCTTCTTGATGGATGATTGATGGAGAAGGTCCAGCCCACTGTGGGCAGAGCCATCGCTGAAAAACGTCATCGTGGGTGCTATAAGAAAACAGGCTGAGCCGGGCGGTGGTGGCGCACGCCTTTAATCCCAGCACTTGGGAGGCAGAGGCAGGCAGATTTCTGCGTTCGAGAGTTCGAGGCTAGCCTGGTCTACAGAGTGAGTTCCAGGATAGCCAGGGCTACACAGAGAAACCCTGTCTCGAAAAACCAAACCAAAAAAAAAAAAAAGAAAACAGGCTGAGCAAGCCAGAGGCACAATCCAGTAAGCATCACTCCTCCCTGGCCTCCACATCATGTCCTGCCTTGACCTCCATCTCTGACTTCCCTTAGTGATGGAGTGTGACCTGGCAGTTATAAGATGACCTTTCCTCCCCAAGTTGCTTTTGACCATGGTGTTTCATCATAGCAATACAAACCCTAAGACATATATTTTGCAAGCAAAAGCAAATTGAATGAAGCCCCAGATGACCATAAATCCTAAGAGGTAGGAAGTAGGAATAGGACATCCTGTGTCCTGTGGATGTAGAGAGGTGCTAGTAGGCAGCCATTGGGGTGGGATCAGTTAAAAGGGACATTCAGGACACAGAGCCTGATTCCCCAAAGTTAAAAACAAAATAGCCAGGATTACCAACTGTGGTGGCTCATGCCTGCAATCCCAGTACTCAAGGGACTGAGGCAAGAGGGTTACTGTGAGTTCAAGTCTAACCTCAGCCACAGGGTGAAGCTGTCTCAAAAACAAACACTGAAACAGCAGCCAACAAAAGGGCCCCCTCAGTGCTATGAGAGGAATTAGCCACCCTAAGAGTTTTTAAGGGATTTGGATGGAGGATTTGGGATAAACAAGGAAATAAGATAAGATAAAGGTTTCCTTATCCTAATCCCATTTATTAAGTAAGCTCATAATCCTATACTGTTGTGAAATACAATCCTTGCAGATTCTAGCATGTCTCTGCACCATGGACCTGGCAGTGGCTGCTTTTCAGACTATCTGGTGAAGAGTGTTTTTCTATAGCAAACAACACTGGAAAAAATCATATCCCCTTCAGTAAGGGAAAGTTTGCCTGCACCCTGAGGGTAGAGTTCATCTCTACTCCACAAAGAAAAGGCACACATGCCCACTGCTCTTTACGAAGCATTGGGGTCCCCACTGACTCAGAATGCCTCTCCTGAAATGCAATTCATCCTAAGCCAGGTAATCTCTCCCTCTTTGGTCACTCTTCTGAGACCTGGGAACTCAGCCTACATGATGTCATAACCTGCATGCTCTGACATCCTAGACTGCCTGCCCTGATGTTCTAACCTACACACCCTGCCCCGGCAACCATGTATCTTCCTAGAACCATAGTATGTTAGAACGCTGACTTTTAGCTTGCAATTAAGACAAAAGTTTTCTCACTTCACAGTTCTTTCCAGTTACATATGATGTCCTCAATGGCCGTAAAACATCTTCCTCTTCACAGTTCCATATCATCATTTGTCAACAAGGGGAACTGCACCTAACACCGAGGGATTAAAAATCAAACAAACAAAAACCACAGGGATATGATTACAGAGATACCACAAAAAAATAGAAATAGATACACTCCATAGGACCCAGACAAGCCACTCTTCAGCATATAGCCAAAAGACTCTCTATTCTACTGCAGACTTATGTGCATGTCAGTGTTCACTACTGCTCTATCCAGAATCACTACAAAATGGAAACAACCTGAATCATCAACTGAAGAATGGGCAAAGAAAGCCCGTCCTAATCTTCAGTGTTTGACCTGGAGTACCTGTAGAAGACAGAAGACTAGAAAGACGCCTTTGAAGATGGGGAAAGTGCCCCGAGAGGGGGGATAGTACAGCACACAGGTGCATGAAGGGGTAAGAGAGAATCATGGGTGGCAGTGAAGACGGGGAGGAAAGGGTACAGCAGAGGAGTGGGTAGAGAAGGGTTAACTAACACTAAGGATGTTTGGAAAAAAATAGAAACCTACATTTTATAAGCTTCCTAAATATAATTTTTTAAAAAGAGCTTAATTGGAATTCCCTGCATGGAGGATATTCTCCTAGAAACCATAAGTTACTAACAAAAAGCCCAGTGCCAACTGGAGTTGTTGGTTGGTGGGGTTCCAGGAACCCCCTAACACGATGTGTGCTATTGTCATTCTACGTGACTGTCCACAGAACTTAACAAAGAGTCCCTATTGGTGAAGACACCGCACATTTTTCTCATTGTGTCATGGATTTATAAACTTTTGGGCTTTGGAGCAAGCATTTTCTTGCATTTTGTTTTAGAAAGTTGTTTTGTTGGAACATGTTGGGAGAAGGTAAACCCTTTGCTCCATGAAACAATCCAATCAAACACCTCTCAGATCCTGAGAAACAAAAGGTACCAAACTCATCAGAGATCCCTAAATCCGCAGTGTTGCCCAAAGGCCAGAGTCCAGCGTTGGCCTGCTGCAGGCCTTTCTCCCTCCCTCTGGCCTTCTCTTTCATATGGGTTTTCATAAGGAACCCACACTGGTGTGGGTTCCTTGAGTTCCTGGCGTTAGGCATGGACACAGTGCACCCACACTCTCCTCCAGCCCACTAAATCCAGTGCACTGGACAGGAACAAGGCCTCGGGGAGGACACATTATTCCCCTCATCACCGCCCTAGCTCAGCCTCTGAGGAGCAGACTTCCTTTTGGAGCCAGTCAGAGGAGGGATAGTTGGCATAAAAGACAGCCCCATCAGGAGTTTGTCCCAAGCTAGTTTGCTTCAGTGAAGACCCAAGTTAAGCTATATTGCCCCAAAGTTTATCACAGCAGGCACAGAGGTGGGGAAGCTCAGAAAGCTTAGAGCCATGAAGTTGAAAATGAAGTATACAAGGACGATTAGTGAGATTCCTGTATTTTCCAGCATGTATTATGGAGAATATCCACCAGCTTTAGAGGGACAAGTAGATTTGAATAAGAATTCAAGTTTATGGTCTGGA